AAAGTGTACAGGGTTATCGAAATAACGGCATTCAGAAGTCCACGGTTTCGCGAGCCCACACTCTGGCGGTCATAGCATCTCTAGTTCCAGGTTTTGGTCAAAAGGGGTGAGTCCAGCTGGTCTCTCACACGCAGGATAAACATCATGCTCGCTCACCAGCGCGTCGAAGTGCAGACGCTCGACGGGTACGTGGTCCCCCGGAACAATGCGCATGGCATGGTACCGAGGTAACTTGAGTCCGGACGCGTTCGGTGCAACCAGACCCAACTCTTTCGAGCGTTCCTCCTGTTGGAGGGGATCATCCGCAAGCGCTTCCAGCTCGGAGAAGCCGTCCATCGTCCGGCCCCAAGTGCGCCGGTGCTTGTCGATGTCGAACTGAGGGTTGCCGACATCCCCGCCGGTTTCGTCGTCGCCATGGCTCACCATGCAATAGGAGCAGGGGAACTTGGAAAAGTTGTTCGGAGCCTTCGTGCCTAGGCATTTCGAGCGCCCGGGTCCATCCCCACACATCAGCAACAGACCACCACGCACAAACACCTGTCGAGTGGCAAGGAGACAGCAGCATTAGTGGTGTAAGCGGTTCAAGAGTTGGCGGGTTAGTGTTGGTACCCGAGTCCGTTCAAGCGTTTCATGCGCACGGCGTTGCCCGAGGAAACCATACCCATCTACTTCAACGTAGACGTCTCGACCGACCATCCATGGGAATAGAAAGGTAACCTCGCGCCAACGCCTGCAGCAAAAGGACGACTTGGCTTGATCGTCGAACACACCGAAGGACAGAAGACCCGACAGAGTGTCACGCACGACATCCCGACAGGGTGGGTTCGAATTCGCGCTGACGCGCGGGGCGATTCCGCAGGTGCTTGCTTACGAAAGCCTATCGCTTACAAATAGAGCGGGGGTGAGGATTCGAAATACTACAACACCAATTGTCCACTGTACCTCTTCCTCCGATCTCGCCCCTTGCTCGTCTCTGAGGACACGCCGCCCAAGACACCCTTGCTGTAGCAGTCCAAGTATTTCGCATTGTAGACCATTCTCCCCTTCACTGCGTGCTCCGGGAGTCGCGAGCGTCCCGACGTGCGTCTGATTTTTCAATCGTTGCACCGCTTGGCTTCGCCAACCCCAGCCAAAGTAGGAGCCTCCAATGGAATGCTGCGGAGAAAGATGTACCATGCGCGAGGACATATGAGGGAGTCGAACTTGCGTCCAATAAACCAAAAATCAAATAACAAAAAAAAAGAAGGAAAAAAAAGCGTCCCATAAACCACAAATTAATCAAGAAAAGACACGAAGCCCCCAACATTATTATTTCGTCCGTCCCAAAAACCAAACATTACCTCATTACAAAAATACAAAACAACCCCCGATATTTTTCATCACGTTGAATGTTTGAACAATTTATGTCGTCCACTCGGGGTACGGCCCTGAGTATACTTCGGCCTCTTACAACATCTACAGCTCTTACAACATCTACAGCACTGATCTGCGATTGAGTTTCACCGAGAGGACACAACCACTCTCACCTTGTTTCCCAACCCCCAGGCGTTGAACGCATCGCAGCTGAACACCACAGGAGCGGAGTAGAAGGCAAGATTCATGTCGTTGAGGTGTACGCCTTGATGTCTCACCCCAAAGAGCGGCTTATCGGTCGTCCCCTCCGCGTGCCAGGGCGCCTCGGACACTTTGAACGGTTTCGGCATGGCGTCGCCCTGGTGACGGCGTTTAGTGCCGGCCGCTGTTACAAACCCTTCCGCGTAAAAGCGGTCCCAAGGGAAGGGGTGCCCGCCGTCCCCACTTCTGTTCTGCGGCGTCTCCATCTCCACCAAGCCCAGAACCTTGGCAGCTTCCAACTCCACACCGCTGCCGGGGGAGCAGTCCTCCCACACTCGCAACAACCCTCCTCGTCTCTCCTCTTCGCCCACGCCCCGCACCTCGGCCGCCGTCCTGAACAGCCGTACGGTTACTAGCACCAAACGGCGTACATCATCGTAGAAAATCTCCATCAACCGACCTAGGGTAAGCACCCCCCCGACCTCGCACGCGCAGCAGTCGTGAACGTATACTTTTCTCCCACACACGCTTGCTCGTATGCCGTCAAACCCGAAGAACGGCGTAGATTTTGCGAGAGCGCCATTGTGATTGGAGTTCATCACGTTTCCCTCGCGCCGTGTAGGCACGCAGTTGACGTGTTCGCTCGTGAGAGAATTAGCTTCGATCTCTTCTCCGCGCAAGAGCTTCCCGCCCGGATGGGTCTCCGACAGAGCTGTTTCTGACTCGATCTGCATGGTACGATGAAGCAGCAGATTAACCGGGATGTCGAACACGGCAGACGAAGCCGTCTCGTCTGCTGCTGAAGGGACGTCCCGCTTAATAAGCTGTAGGAGGGGCAAATACGGCCGCATGCGACTATAGAAGTGCTCCGGGTTGACGCCTGCGAGCCCTTTCACGTCGAACGGCTCACCCTCATGCACCATCCAAAATTTCGAGTAGCCCTCCAAACGCCCTCTGCGGAATCCGGTGCACATGTATCCAGATGAACATGAGTTGTTGCTCCTTCGTCGCAAAAGGGTAGAAAGGAGAACCGGCCGCCTTCGTGTTGTATCTCAACTTTTCGGGGCCACCCTCCACGGTAGTGCTTGAAGCAAAAGACGGCGCCATCGTGTGAAGCACTTCTAATCTGGGAATAGCAGACGATGTGCCGCCACCATCTTCTGGAAGCAGGAATACCTCAGGTTCCACAGGGCCCCCTTCGTAGTCGATGTCACCCTGAAAATCATCGTATCCCTCGTCGTTCAACCCGTCGTCCCCTTCCACGCCCCCCCCGTCCTCCATGCTGTACTCGTCGCCGGCGTCCGTGTCTCTCCCGCTCGACTCGACCGTTCTCTCTACTTCCTCTACACGCCCCATGAGATTGCCGAGACCCCTGGCGCCGCCGGTTTCCTCGTGTGCTCCACCGCTAGCTGATCCATCCTCAGCTCCACCAAATTCGTCCCCTCCACCAAAATCGTCCCCCTCCCCTGAGCCATTGTCGGCACTTTCTAATCCTCCCGCGCCCACCTCTTGTGCGCTGTCCGGCATATCATCTCCTTCCGATTCTGTCCGTTCGGGAGCAACACGAAAACAGTTAGATTGCGAATCATGAACACGAATAGATATCTATAGACTGCACCCACACGCGAAGGAGCGTTTTATGTCCTGGTAGGACAGGCGCGACCAAACGACAGATTCGGTTGGCAATACAAATCTTCATTTGCCACACGAGCCGGGGTCATCTCCTGCCCGTGCACCGAACGTAGGTCCAGACTCTCCTCGAGGTCTGATGCTGTCGGCAGCGTGCACAAGAGAGAGAGATGACTAGACAGACATGGGCTGCAAACCCGCTGAAGACCCTGCCTTGCCGCCGCACGTTCTTTGTGCTCCTTCATCTTCTCTACAGTTCACACCCATAGTCCTCCGGTCCCGCCGCCTAGTGGGGGGGGGGGCGGGCCCCCGTGTTGACCAAGTGCGTTGTATAGGTAAGTAATACTCCTTCAGAACAGCTTAGACAAGACATCACCTCCCATACACACCTCTGTGGTGGCGCCAAGCAACACGCATCAGTGCGGCGAAATCATATAATGCCGTAGAGTGCGGCGAAAAATTCGTCGGTATTGCAGAATGGCGCCTAGTTTTTGACCACACACTACCTGGGTATGGCGAAGGGAATGGCCAGTATCCCACACGCGTATTGCACGGTGACCTTTGTTTCGAAGGAGCGGCTCCCAAGACTTCGCGCAAAAACCACACCACCCGTGCGAAACTGAGGTTCCCATCTCGTTCCCTGTTCAAACGTTCAAACATTCTTGCCTCTGCCTCGCACCTTGGGCCTCTAAGGTCGGATCTCTCCCTGGTCCCCTCATGGCGTGGAGAGAACAGCCCGCAGCAGATTGTCCGCTGATGGCAGCGGGGGTGGTGGTTGCTGCAGCATGTGGCGGTGTGGCAACTGCGGAGAGATTCCCGAAGGGGTTCCAGCAGCATCGACACCGGTCCCGCTTTCGCCTTACTGTGAACTCCGTACCACAATGTGCACACTGGTGCACAACTGCTTCGCGCCCAGCAATTGGACCAACCGGCCGCGCTCCCGCGCCCGCTTCCGACATGGCAGTTAGTGAGTAGCAGGTGGAGACCTTGAGGGGGCTCCGCGAATGGAAGGATATGGGTACCTTTTGTTCTCACCAACTATCCCCCCTCTCCCCCGGCGGGTATTTCCAAACCACTTTCCGACGTCCGTTGAGCGAGATGATAGCGAGAAACAATGGCAAGCTGATATACCACACCAACGACCGCGAGGAGGTAAGATTAGTTTCTTGCGTGCGTTTTCTCAACGCTGGTATCNTACGATGCCTCCTGCTCGCCGAAGCCAAGGACGAGGGCGCTCTGCCTCCACCCCTCGCCAGCCGCTGTCATCCGTCGGAGGCAACACGGCGCGCGCTGCTCCATCTACGCGCCGCTCCGCATCGACCTCGGCGCGCCCCCGGTCTCGTTCTTACTCGACGAAGAACGGAAAGGGTAGGGCGTCCGTCACCTCCGCGTTGGAGGTGAGTTCTGACCACTCTTTGTATCTCTCTTGGCGCTCCTCTTATGCGTTTGCGGCCATCCTCTGCATTGGATTCGCTTCGCCTTGGATCATAAGCGTTCTCGCTTCGCCTTGGATCACAAGCGTTCTCGAAAAACATCGCAGCCGTTAGACATTTTT